TACATGGTAGAAATTTCATCTAAATGAGTCTAAAAGAGCACTTTTAACAACTATAAAGATTTTAAGAATCTGTACTATAAGAAAGCATTGTATCATCACCAATTTTTCTTTGTTGGGGTACATAAAACAGGGGTGTACTTTGTAATCACAGGTATCTGAAATTAGATAAATAATATCCCACCCCATAGAGTCAGCATAAATCTCATAAATCTCTCCTAAATGGACCCTCCCTGGTGGCACAACAGGTTAAGTGCAGCACTATGAAGCTCTCCAAAGCCACTGCAGCATGAGTTAGATTCCCAGCCAGGGAGCTGACCCACATAGCTCAGCAGTGTATTTCAGTAGATCTGCCTGTTCTGCTCCCCACTCCATCTCTGGTGAACCCTCTCACCCCCTGCACCTCTGGCCTATACCCCAGTTCTTGTATGCATAAATAAATAAATCTTTTTAAAAAATCTCTCCGGGCCCTCCCTGGTGGCACAGCAGGTTAAAGCACAGCACTAAAAAGCTAAAGCCATTTCAGCATGAGTTCGATCCCCGCCCCAGAGGTGACCACATGGCGCGGCAGACCTCTCCTGACCCGCCCGCTGTTCGCCTCAGCAGTGTGCTTCATCGATCTGCCTCCCCACTCTGTCTCTAGTGAATCCTCTCACAGCCCCTGCACCTCTGGCCTACAACCCAGTTCTGTATGCATAAATAAATCTTACAAAAAAAAAAAAAGAAATTACACTTAGAATCATGATTCAGATTACCAAAGATTAACAAAGTCTAGAAACATTCCCAAAAAAGAAGCATTTAACACTGTCTGTCAACTAGACCTGGAACCATTCCTTGCCCGATCTGGTTAGCGTATGTTACATCATGCTGTATTATAATGCGGGCTCCATGGAACCATTCTTTAGGTGGTATACAGATGTATTTAATCAGTTTCACAATTTCACTTCCAAATTGGGAAAAATCCCAAGAATTATTTCCAAACTTCCTGGAAAAATTAAATCAAATCATGCTCACATCAATCTAGATGAAATTCATGTCTGAAGAGGCTTCATACTATATTGACAAAAAGGAGTAGAAAGAGTGACAGACCCTAGGTTTTTTGGATAATGAAATGGTAAAATTTAATGAATGGGATATGTGTCATATAAGATTATTCTGTTGAACCATCACTCCCAACCAAAGTTATTTTAAGGAAAGTTTTATCCATGTCCTTATGTCATATCTGCCTCTTATGCAGAGACAAGTCAGTATATCACAATATATAGAGATATATACTTATTTTTTTAATGCACACAGATATATGCAGTTACCACTTGAACAATGCAAAGGATAAGGATGCCAATTCCCTACGCAGTAGAAAATCCACTACTATGCTATCTATCAATAGCATAGTAGAAGTATGCTATTGACTAGAAGCTTTATCAGCAACACTTTATTGACACATATTTTGTATGTTAGGTGATATTCTTACAATAGATGAAAAAACTGGAGAAAAGAAAACTTTACTAAGAAAATCATAAAAATAATATATTTCATCATTTATTCAAAAAAATCTACATCTAAATGGACCTACACAGTTCAAATCCATGCCTTTCAAGGGTTAACTATACTTGGTATTTGGCTACTATATTTATAAGTTCAAACATTTTTTGTTAAAGATTTATTTATTTATGCATACAGAACTGGGGTACAGGCCAGAGGTGCAGGAGCAGTGAGAGAATTTACCATAGACAGAGTGGAGAGCAGAACAGGCAGATCGACGAAATACACTGCTGAGGGGAGCAGCGGGTGGGTCAGGAGAGGTCTGCCATGCCATGTGGGTCACCTCTGGGGCAGGGATCAAACTCATGCTAAAGTGACTTTAGTTTCTTAGTGCTATGCTATTTAACCTGCTGCACCACCAGGGAGGGCCCAGTCCAAACATTTTTAACATTTGACAGAAGCTAAATCCTAAAAAGCAAAAAATGCTATCTTTCCATTTGCCTTTAGATATTATATAAAGATAATAAATGTAAATATATGTATATAAATTTATATATACCTTATATATACCATAGAAATAAACACATACATACCTTATATATAAATTTATAAATATATAGATTGTATTGATTATATATGTGATTAATATAGTAATATTTATATCATATAATTATAGTAATATCCATATATTATAATAACTAATTGCAATATATTGTTAATTATATAGTATATATTAAATATTAATACAATAGATTTATATATTACCTAAATATAATATATGCCTTCTCCATATGCCTGTAGATGTTATGTAAAGGCAGAAGCTATACCAATTATCCACTGTCACCATATACCATGTGTTTTCTACAAAGTAGAATATGTTAGTTTTATTCTCGGGAATTCTTTAAAGACACTATGTGATGCAACAATGTCATCTAGGGGTCCTGATTTCAAAAAACATAAGAGCTGCAGTGATAGGTGGGCATGACCTCAGATTACAAGGAAAAGAATCCACAAACCTCAAGACCATTTCATCTCTTTAAAATTATAGTCACTTGATTCATAATTGCACATTAAAATGTACAAATCTCAGGTTATCAGACTTTGACACTAAATTAAATTCCATTTTCTTTTACGTCTTAATAACTAAAAAGTGTGCCCTGATTTATTTGTGTCCTTCGTTCCAAAGACTGGGGCAAGAACAAAGGACAGAGTAGGTCCAGCAGACTGTGATGAGGGTTACTGGTGCTTTGGTGGTGGCACGGTGTTGGAACACGCACTGAAATAAGTGTGAACCTGCACTCCTAACAAATACACAGTCTTTTAAACCAATGTTAACTCTATGTTAAAAAAAAAAATTAAGAGATTAGATTAGTTGTGATGGTTAATCTTGTATGTCAATTTGACTGGCCCATAGGGTATCACACTAAACATTATTTCTGAGGTGTTTCCAGATGACATTTGAATCAGTAGACTTGGTAAACTGTATTAAAATAGTTAATAATAGGCAAGCATAGAAATAGTGCGCCCTCCTGTGGTCACGTTCCTTGACGGTTTTCCAACACAGGAAAGCTAGTCTGCAAAGCCCACATGGGTGGATTATGGACCCAGACCTCGGAGTCAATTTACCACTCCAGGTGCTGGAAACAAACAGGGACTTTAAATTTTATTTACTTTTGCACAAAATAATTGGGGTATAGGCCAAAGGCACAAGGAATGAAAACATTCACCAGAGGCAAAGTAGGGAGCAGAAGAGGTGGATTTACCAAAATACACTGCCGAGGGGAGCAGCGGGCACTGAACCATAGGTGGTTTATCTCCTTGGCTAGGGATTGAATTTAGTCCACAGTGACAGCACTGAGACTTAATCCCTAGGCCACCAAGGAGGCACCAGGGACTTTTAATTTGGAAGGAAGGATACAAATAAATCAGGACACACTTTTAAGTCATAAAGACATAAAGGAAAATGGAATTTAATTTAGTGCCAGAGTCTGATAACCTGAGATTCATACATGTTTTTAAAAAAGACTTATTTATTTATGCATACAGAACTGGGGTACAGACCAGAGTTACAGGGGCGGTGAGAGGCTTCACCAGAGACAGAGCAGGGAGCAGAACAGGCAGATCGACGAAGTACCCTGCTGAGGGGAGCAGCGGGCGGGTCAGGAGAGGTCTGCCGCGCCATGTGGTCACCTCCAGGGCAGGCGGGGATCGAACTCATGCTGAAGTGGCTTTAGCTTCTTAGTGCTGTGCTCTAACCTGCTATGCCACCCGGGAAGGCCAGAATCATACATTTTAATGTACAATTATGAATAAAGTGACTATAGCATTTAAAGAGATGAATCTTCTAAAGGGAAAATATGGTCTTGTGGGTTCTTCTTGTTATTAAATGAGGTGGTTTCAACCAGCAGTGATTCTGCTCCCCAGGAAAGCGTAACAACATCTGAGGCACTTTTAGTCATTCACAATGTCACTAGGCCCTGGAGTAACCTGCTCCTTGTTTGTTACCTTCCTGTTGTTGAAAACCTGATCAACTGGGATACTCTTTTGTGGAGTGGAGGGGAGGGGGAAGCTAAACATGAGATCAAGTAAATCATCTGTGAGTGCTTAAAGGTCCCCTGAAACCCGAGCTAGAAATCCTCTAAGTCCAGTCTATACCCTTCTTACAGAATCCCAGTCAGCAGATACTCTGCTTTCCCACTTCTTTGCCCTGCGAGCAAACTCAAAATACCAGGGCTCCCAAAACCCCTTCCACATTCATCCCTGGAGTGTGGTTCAGAGCAGTTGCTGCTCCTTCCCTATTGCATGATCCCCAGTACATGTTCCTCTATTGAACCCACAAGCTCTTTCAAAATTCATACAGGATTAACTAGTGAAAGCCAGAGAAAGGACCTCACCATCAGCAATGAGACTCAGTGGTGCTCAGCATTTTCCAATGCACAGGTCAGCCTTCAACCCCAGCAATGTGTCATCTAGCTCCAAATATCAGCTGAAATAAGGTTGGAAAATCCTTTTCACATGCAATATAGAAACTTCAAACTTTAAGCAGCAGCCATCCCTATGCCCATGTCTATGCGCCTTCTTTTTTTTCAATTTTAATAATATATTTCATTGCATTATAATGCAATTTAGATAATATCTAAAATAGTATCAATTCCAGCATGTACACAACATAAAAATTATTAATGGGATATCCTACATTCTTTTTTGTATTAAGACTGTCATTTATAGGAGAAATATAGGGAAACCAAATAAGACATGAGGGAAGAAACATTAACATTAACAAAGCAAATAATCAGATGACTATAAATCAGAGACACTCTGCAGGGGAGGGGAAGGAAAATGAATCAAAATGAGGGAGGGAAGAGCAGGCATCTCTTTTAACAAACTTGTCCCTTTCAGAAGCAGTTCTTCCTGCCCACTTGTGTCTGTGCAAAAGTCTTCTTTCCTTTTTTTTCTTTTTAAGATTTATTCATTACAGGCCAGAGTGCAGGGGCAGTGAGAGCATTCACCAGAGACGCAGTGGGGTGCAGAACAGGCAGATTGATGAAGTACACTGCTAAGGGGAGAGAAAGTGAGCAGTGAGAAAGGAGAGGCCTCCTATGCCATGTGGGTCAGCTCCTTAGTGGGGGAATCAAACTTGTGCTGAAGCTGCTACAACTAGCTTTGTAGAGCTGTGCTTTCCATGTTGTGCCACACGGAAGGGTCCCTCTTTTTTTTTTTTTTTTTTTTAGTATAATAAACCT